TATTTTATTCAACAAAATATTATGCCAAACACATATATTAATTAAATAATATATTTTCGGGACATCAACACCAACGTCATCCTTGTCAATGACTGCCTGTAGTCTCTCAGGACACAGTGGCTATACCTGCTGGTGGACAAACTGAGGATTGGCCCGGAACAATTCCCACTGCTCCTGAGTGTGTTGAATAAGTTGGACGTCCTCTCCTGTGCTGGTGCCCACCATACTTTCCCTTAGGTTTTTAATCGGGTTCATGTCACGGCCCTTACTGGGCCACTCCAGCAGCTCCAGGTTGGACTGGTCCACAATCTACTGTCAGACCACATGATAGATGTTCCATAAATACGGTATGGAACATCTATCCTACACAAACCGAATCGGCCCAGTGAAAGGGTGGTTCCTGTCTTGCGGAGATGATAGAAAATATCCTTCTACTATATATATATATATATATATATATATATATATATATATATATATATATATATATATATATATATATATATATATATATATATATATATATATATATATATATATATATATATGAATCCGTCGGTTAATCCCCCAATTAACCGGGTTGTTCACATATATTAGATATTGGGGTTTTAGTAACGAAACCCAATTGAGGTTCCTTGTTTTATTATAAAAGGATTATGTCTATAATTCCTGAGTGTAGATCAACCGTAAGTTCCACTATTTATGAGTGAAGAAGAAAGAGGACGGCGTTTATGTAAATATAAACGTAGATCACGTCCATTCGATATTAGTTGATCTTAGTGACTGACCTAGGAGCGTCGCTTGTGCCCGCTTACATAAATGCTGACATATGGGCTTGTCCCTCTTGGGAAAGCTACCGTTCACGTGTTCAACTCGTGTCTTACTCATAGACAGTGGAAAGTTACAGGGTGGTGAATGTGAATATAATATCAGATGTATTGAACCATTTATATAATATGTTCTGTTGATGAGACAGGGGCCATTGCATCGCTCGGTCACCTAACAGCCGAGCTCCGTGAGGCCTAAATAAGCTCACAGCGTACAGTACATCCTAGACAACCCTAACCATGTTATAAACAGATGTGTAGACACTAAGCTGGGGATTCTACTACTGTAGGGGTATCAGCTACTACAGGGGACCTAAACTTTAGTGTCTTACGGGTTAATATGTTATGAACAACGTTCATTTTGGATGACACTGCCTTATAATAACAGAACAGAAACATAATTGCCATAATTTACATAATTGAGGGAATTGTAAGGCTTGGTATGGCAAATTCCCGTGATAGATAAAATGGTAAATTATTACTCAAATCAGCAAAATGTCTCTTTAAAGAATGCTAGAACTTTTGATTTCTCTGAAACAATTTGAATATCCTTTATAGTGAAATTCATGACAGGAAGTTGAATTAAAGCAGACGCGAGTTTCATATTTAAAGCAAAGTGCTGATGAGTAGGCAAGGTCCGTAATGTACCACAAGTGATTTCACAGTAATCCGGAGCCTTGTAATGCCCTTTCACAACTAGCTGCTTAACACCATCATGGCATTTTAAAATAGCAGTCGTAAGATTTGGAAAGAACAAGTACTGCACATTGTGGAGATGAGCGTGAAACACAGTTTTGAGACTAACTGGCCTATAACTGCATTGCGCAAGTGCTGTGCGTACATTGGTTTGTATGACTGCCAATTCACATATTCCCTCTGCAGCAGGAATAAACGTGAACATGTAGGCTGGACATTCGTGTAGGTGTAGATAAGACGACTTACACCGTGACAGTACCTTAGGATCTTCTATTGACAAGAAAGAATAATCTTCATCTATTAGGAAAAGTTCTTTAGGCCTATCCAGAGTATACAGTGCGTCGTTAACAAAGCAGGGGAAGGGTTCTAAATGCCATGCATGAAACTGATGTTGCCCTCGCATAGGAATGTGGATCAGGATAGCATTGTGCATCACCATCATCACCATCACCATCACCACCATCATCATCATCATCATCATCATCATCATCATCATCATCACCACCACCATCATCATCACCATCATCATCACGTACATGGCAACGCCCACGATCCAAACACTGGCATCTCATTGACTACACCATTGTCGAAGAAAGAGATCTCTCAGATGTCCTCATCACCCGTGCCATGCATGGCTCAGACCACTGTGACACTGATCATCGACTTGTCAGAGCCAAGCTCTCACTTCACGTTGCCCCTAAACGACGCAGGCAGCAAGACTCATGAAGACGTTTTAATACTAAGCGTCTGGAGAATCCAGCAGTAGCACATGCTTTCAGAGAGCAGCCCGAACATGGGATCATAAACAACTCAACAGCAAACAAGGCGAATTCCAGTGCCGAATGGGATACTCTCAACACTGTTATGACAAAAAATCGCAGAGAGACCCTTGGCGAAATCAAAAGAATTCACCAGGACTGGTTTGATGAAAATGATCCAGCAATCAAAGTACTCATCAATGATAAACGTGCTCCTTTTACTGACTAGCAGAGCAACCCTCAGTCTCGGACCAAAGCTGATACCTTCTTCAAGAAAAAGCGGCAGCCCAGCGGAAACTTCACATTCTAAAGAATGACTGGCCTAAAAATAAAGCATGCGATATACAAAAGCATGCAGATCAGCACAAGACGCGCGAAATTTTCAATTCCACCGAAACATTTTATGGGCCAACCACTCGTGGCGCAGCCCCCCTCTGCTCATCTGACGGTAACTTCATAAATAAAGATGATGACGGCCTCCTTCAGCGCTGGAAAGAGCACTACCATGCATTGCTCAACCGAAACACCGATGTGGATGTTGTGACTACCCAGAGGTCCCTCAGCATCCAGAGCTGACCCACCTCAGTTATCCTCCATCCCTGGATGATGTAGTTACTGCCATCAAACAGATGAAAAATAACAAAGCCTCAGAGCCTGATGGAATCCCAGCCGAGGTGTATAGAGCAGAGGACCTCTGCTTACCCGCTGTCTCCTCTCTATCCTGGAGAATATATGGGAAAAGGAGGAAACCCCCAGGCTCTTAAAGACGCTTCCATTGTCAATATTTATAACAACAAGGAAGACCGGTCAGACTGTGGCAACCACCGTGGGATCTCGCTGCTTTCCGTAGCTGGCAATATTATCGCCAGAGTCCTCTTTAACAGACTCCTTCCTGAGGCGGAAAACTTACTCCCAAAATTTCAATGTGGTTTTAGACCATCGCTTGGCACTACTGACATGATCTTTGCTGCCCGCCAGATACAGGAAAAGTGCAGAGAACAGCGTCGTGACCTGTACATGGCTTTTGTCAACCTAACCAAGGCCTTTGACTTGGTCAACAGGGAAACCCTCTGGTGGACCCTCAGCCGGTTCGGCTGCCCACCAAAATTCATCGCCATTGTGAGGCAATTCCACGATAGCAAGAACGACTGTGTCCTGCACAACGGCACCAAGTCTGAGTTCTTCCCCATCCAAACAGGGGTTAAACAAGGGTGTGAGTACTAGCACCAGCTCTCTTTTCCATTTTCGTGGCTGCCTTCCTTACTCGTGCCAGTGACAGTTTGGCCGGCGGGGTGGACATCCAGTACAGGGTGAAGTGGGGCCTTTTCAACAGAAGACGACTCCAAGCAAGAACAAAGGTGAAAGGTGTCGGCAGCTTCCATTACTGAACCTCAGTATGCAGACGACCTTGTTGCCCACACTGAACGCGACCTACAGGAGATCCTAAACACTTACGCAAATGCGTATGCGCACTTCGGCCTTCAGGTGAATGTACGTAAGACTCTTTCAACCTGCCCCTGGTTCAGACACACCTCCACCATCCATCGAGGTTAACGGTACTACACCCTCTATAGTATTACCTACTTTCAGTATCTTGGGTCCCACCTGTCCACCACCGAGGGAATTAATGCAGTAATTCATCATTGGATCAGATGTGCATCTTATACCTTAGGCAAACTCCGTACCCGTGTCTTCGCCTGTCGGAACCTGAAATTATCTACAAAACTGCACAAAACTACACGTATATCGGTCAGTGGTCCTCCCCACCCTGCTGTTTGGCAATTGAAAACTTTCACCAATGTAGTCTACATTCCATCCTCCGAGTTCGCTGAGAAGACAAGAGAACAAATTCCAGTATTCTCGCTGACACCAACTGTAGGAGCATCGAAAATACTATTATCAAAGAACAACTATTATGGACTGGCCATGTTACTCGCATGGACGACAGCAGAATGCCATAGCAACTACTTTACAGTCACCCAACGAATAGTAAAAGTAACGGTGGTGGGCAACGGAAAAGGTATAAGCATAGTATTAAGACAAACCTGAAAAAGTGCCAAATCGACCCTCTCACCTGGGATTTGATCACTCCACACGGTAAAGCTTGGAGGGGCACCACACGAGAAGGTGTCAATACTTTCGAGTTAGCCCGATTGTATATCGAAGCAGACAAACGCCAGCACTGGAAAGACGTTGCTGCCGTCGACCACCCCCCCACTAGATGTAGCCCTCCACACGTGCGACATCTGTGTATGGCCCTGTAAGTCCCGTATCGGCCTCTCGAATCAGTTCAGAGCTCAGCAACGAAAGCGACTTCTTCAATAATTCATATCATTGTATCATAGCTGGATGATCGTCATACTTGATTCCGAGCTGTAGCAGCGGCGGCGGCGACGGCAGGGGTAACAATGGCGGCGGCGACCGGCAAAGGCGGTGGCGGCGGGTGCGGTGGTAAAAACGACGGGTGGGGGGGAGGCGCGATCACCTTGCAGGGTGAAGCTATTGGCAAGTTTCTTAACGCCTTTACATTTGTTTACCCAGCAGTAATTGAGGAGCTGGATGTTAATTAATTTGCAGGTCATGTTCAGGGGTAATGGATACTCAGTGCAATGGACTAGTTGTCCGATCTTCTCGGACTATTCCTTGACACTGGGTTACGTAGTTCGTTAATTTATGTCGTGGTTATATTGGCAACAGTTTTTACGAAGATTTGACTGAATTACTATCTACCTGTCTAACAAAAACACCTGTACTCCATGTTGCTCACCTGTGGCAGAGGCTCCGGGGCACGGCAGTGTATTCCTCCACAGTAGATGGCAGCAGGTACAGTTGGACGAGGAGGGTATTCAACGGTCTCTACACTGTGTGAATTTAAAATTAATATGTGAGTATTACTGGTCTGAAGGATGTCAGGTACGGGAACGTCGAATAATGATCATAACACACTGACAGGTGTCTCGGACAACCTGAAGATTAGACACACCACCTTACTCCACCTGAAGAGTAACCACCCCATGCTACCTTTGCTACCGTAAGGGAATGTTGGGTTAGGTTTGGTTGGCATGTTGTTTAGTTAGGTTATTATAGTTTAGATTAGGTTAGCAAATAGTTTAACGTTAGGTTAGGTTAGGTTAGCTTAGTTTAACGTTAGGTTAGGTTTGTTTAGCATACGTAGCTTAAAGTTGGGTTAGGTTACGCGTTAGATTAAGTAGGCGTTGTTAGGTTAGATTAGCTAAGGGGGAAGGTTAGGTTTGCTTAACGTGAAGTTAACTTAGCTTAGCTTAGCTTATCGTTAAGAACATGAGAACAGAGGACTGGTGGAAACTGCAGCGGGCCTTAGTGGCCCATACTGGGCAGGCCAGTTTACACCCAACTCCTATCGGTCATGTATGCATCCAACCATCGAGTTCTCTCCTAGTTGGATAGTTTTAGTACATTGGTTATATTACACTTATTTAAACCTGACTTCCATTTATACACCTCGATCATATCGCCCCTCACTCTACGTCTCTCGAGGGAGTGCAAATTAACATGATTTAACCTGTCTCTGTGTTCAAGTTTCCTAATGCCCGTGATTAGTTTTGTCATTCTCCTCTGAATTCTGTCTTGGGATTCTATTTCTATTCTGAAGTACGGTGACCTGAACTGAGCCGTGTAATCCAGGTGAGGTCTTACAAGCGCAAGATATAGTTTTAGGATAACCTCGCGAGTCTTATAACTAACACTCCTTTGTATGAACCCAAGTACTTTATTAACCTTGTTTTCAGCAAATACACACTGCTGTCTTGCTTTAAGATTTTTACTTATCATTACCCCTAAATCTTTCTCACAGTCGGATTTATCTATAACAACGTTGTTCATCTGATATCTGGTGTCTCTGTTTACATCTCCTAGATTAAGTACTTTACATCGGCCATTTTTCAGATCATGCGAAGAATTTTTTTACATCTTCCTGTCGTTTTCCGGAGTCCTCGCCTGATTTAATTGTACCTTGGGGTACTCCATTAGTGACGTTACCCCAATCGGTTTTAGTGCCGTTAACGCTTACTCGCTCTTTCTTGTCTTGTAACCACGCCCTAATCGATTTTAGAATATGTCCTCCAATTCCACGAGCCTTCAATTTTCGTATTAGTCTTTCGTGGGAGACTCCGTCAAAGGCTTTGCTAAAGTCGCGATATACCACATCATAATCGTATCAGTCATCTAGTAGACTTGATAAGGTCTAAAAAAAAAAATAGGCTATCACTGCATTTCATAGTGCAAGGGTCCCACTCGGCATAAGTGTTCCTTGGGGCAAGAGGGAAAATTTACCCAAAGAGATACTGTGTCTCTGTGCATAGAAGCCACTAATTATCATAAATTATGCTAATTAGCACCCCAAAGAAGGCATTTTTTAACTTTTAAACCATTTCGCCTAGAAACATGTGTGATTGGTTGAACCTGGCTAATTTTAGGGCCAGGAATTCATTTCGGGGGTAATTTTAACAATTGGCTGTCATTTTGACCCTCAAATCCAAAATGTCCTATGGCCGCCATCTTGAATGTAGGCATACTTTACAATTTTTGAACCGTTTGAGCTACAAACTTGTGTGACATATCAATTTCTACTAATTTGGGGTTGGGAAAATAATTTCTGATAAGTTTCTGGTAAGATAAGTTTGATGCATCATAGTTTTCTCATATAGCCAATAAGAGCTATCTTGGAATTCATCTTTAAATATCCCTTTAAAAAACCTCCTATTAGTATTACCAGAAATTAGTTTCCCAACCCTAAATTAGTAGAAATTGATGAATCACACAAGTTTGTAGCTCAAACGGTTCAAAAGTTGCAAAGTATGCCTATATTCAAGATGACGGCAAGTGGCCATCCTGGATGTAAGGGTCAAAATGGCCGCCAATAGTCAAAATGGCAACCAATTGTCAAAATAACCTTCAAAATGGATTCCTGGCCCTAAAATTAATCAGGTTCAACTAGTCACACATGTTTCTTGGTGAAAGGTTTAAAGGTTATAAATTGCCTTCTTTTGGGTGCTAATTAACATAGTTTGTGTTAATAGTGGGTTCGATGCATAGAGACAAAGTGTCTCTTTGCATAATTTTGTTTCCTCTTGTCCCAAGGAGCACTTTTGCCAAGTGGGACCTTGGCTCTGTGAAATGCAGTGTTCAATCCCATAGCAAGTCTACTAATCTACCGATTCGAAAATAATTGAAAAGACTGTTAATAGATTTGTCAGACAAGAATGCACACTTTTCAAGCCATGTTGGGAATCATTTATCAATTTGTGCTTCTCCAGGTGATTTCGAAGAGTTTGAAATTATTGCTGAAACTGATTGGGCGGTAGCTAGAAGATAGTGATCTATCTCCCTTCTTGAATATCGGTATCATATTCGCTATCCTCCAGGATTCAGGTACTACACCCGTTTTCAATGGCATGTTAAACAAATTTGCTGAGGCCATACTAAGCACTTCTCTATTTGTTTAATTACAGCTTTACTAGTCACTACTCTCTCGCTTAATCTATTTCCCTCACTATCTCTGTATATAGTCTGTGCCTCTGGTATCAAGTTTAAATTTTCGGTGGTGAAAACTGTTGAAAAATATCTGTTCAAAATATTGCTCATTTCTCCGTCGTTATCAGATAGCTCGCCAGTAACTGACTGTATTGGTCCAATATTTTCTCGTCTATTAGTTTGACACATTTGGAAGAATCCCTTAGGGTTTGACTTCGCCTCCGTTGCCACCTTTAGTTCATTACAAGTGATCGTGGGCCCTTCGTGCCCGGTAGCGAGTCCGGTTGTACAGTTTACCGAGGTTGTTATAATAATGGTCGTGCTTGTTATAATTATGGTCGTAGTTGTTATAATCATAGTCTGGTTATGATCATAGTCATGGTTGTTATATTCATAGTCGTGGTTGTTATAATCATAGTCGTGGTTATGATCATAGTCGTGGTTGTTATAATCATGGTCGTGGTTGTTATAATCATATTCGAGGTTATTATAATCATGTTCATGGTTGTTATAATCATGGTCGTGGTTGTTATAATCATGGTCGTGGTTGTTATAATCATGGTCGTGGTTATGATCATAGTCGTGGTTGTTATAATCATAGTCGTGTTTGTTATAATCATGTTCGTGGTTGTTATAATCATGGTCGTGTTTGTTATAATCATGGTCGTAGTTGTTATAATCATATTCGTGGTTGTTATAATCATGGTCGTGGTTGTTATAATCATGGTCGTGTTTGTTATAATCATGATCGTGGTTGTTATAATCATAGTCGTGGTTGTTATAATCATGGTCGTGGTTGTTATAATCATGGTCGTGGTTGTTATAATCATAGTCGTGGTTATTATAATCATGGTCGTGGTTGTTATAATCATAGTCGTGGTTGTTATAATTATAGTCGTGGTTGTTATAATCATGGTCGTGTTTGTTATAATCATAGTCCTGGTTGTTATAATCATGGTTGTGGTTATGATCATGGTCGTGGTTGTTATAATCATGGTCGTGGTCGTCATACTTACAGCATCTAATATACTAAAGAAAAGAATAGAACAAATGTTAGCATAATTATTTAAAGAAATACACACTGTAGCCTCGTTAGGTCCGAAAATGCTCTGGTAAAGTTAAAACTGCGCATCCAGACGCATGATGAAACTCAGTCCCCCCACCTGTTATCTCTAACTATTATCTTTTTCCCCTTCTTTCTTCTATTTACTCATCTTCCTTCCTTTACTAATCCAAACAACATTAAAAAAAGTAGGCTAAGAGAAAAAGTGGGGGGAGGAGGAGGGAGCCATACGATAACTGCAATCGTCCGGCCGGCTAACAGCTTACAGTGACATCTGTTGCCAGCATAAATAAAATCGTTAATTAATGCGTTCCTAAAGAAACCATCGACACGGGACAAGGTTTGTTCCACTCTACGAATTTTTTGCGATTTTTCCACGAAGTTTGATGAAAAACGATTGTGCCGTTTCGCCTGCCCAGAGCAGATACACGCACGCCTAGCGCTATTGTATATTAGATTCCTCTTTGTGTTTCTTATTTCGGTCTTAACCCTACTGGCCAATACCTTATAAAAATCTCGGAGGTAAACTTCACCACGTCTTATTCTCCTACCTATAGACATTCTTTGTCCAATAATATTCTTTAAATAATTATTTATCCATTTAGGGATCATTGTTATTTGATCTGAGTTTTCTGTATAGTATGTTCTGCCTTTGGGGCAGAACATACTATAGTAGTAGGCAGGTACCAAACAAGAAGGTACTACCATCTGGGAAGATATTGGAAGGATAATGTGTTGTCTAATAACATAAGAACGTAAGAAAATAAGGAGTCTGCAATAGGCCGGTTGGCCTGTGCATGGCAGCTCCTGTCGAGTTACTACCACTCTCTATCATCCATGAATCCATCTAGCCTCCTTTGAAAACTCTCCACCGTTCCAGCACTTACTACAAAGTTGCTAAGCTTGTTCCACTCGTCTACCACCCTATTTGTGAACCAGTTCCTTCCTAGCTCCCTCTTAAACCTAAACTTATCCAACTTAAATCCATTGCTACGAGTCCTATCCTGCTCGAATATTATGAGAACTTTATCTATATCGCCTTTATTGATTCCTTTCACCCACTTAAATACTTCTATCATATCTCCCCACACTCTTCGTCTCTCTAGGGAATGCAAGTTTAGTTTCTTTAACCTATCTTGATATGGAAGGTTTCTAAGTCCCGGAATCATTTTCTTCATTCTCACTGCACTGACTCCAGTGAATTGATATCCATTCTATAATAAGGGCACCAGAACTGAACCGCATAATCGAGGTGCGGCCTGACTAACGCAAGATATAGTTGCAATA